TTCTCATGCTTAAGAGTCAAATGATATGACGGTGATATGGAGCAATTGCATACGACGGTTCTCGCAATATATCTCAACCTAACGCGGATCTAGTTTAAGTCTTAATTAATTATGAGTCCATCTATAATTACCGACTATGAACAATTTATGATTACTATTTATATTCATGTATTGATCGTCATCACATACATATATATAACTCTTGTAATCAAGTGGACACTATCAATTCTATAATGAATCGAAACATAATACATTGAATTCACCAATTGTATAAAGTATAAATATTTCAGAAACGTCAGGAACATATGTTACTATAATCCAAATAAGAATTTGCTATGCCAGGGCATATAAATCCCAATAGCTCCCACTTGCCCTCATAGCCAATTCAAATTGTATCTAACTCCAATGTTATCCAGGTGTTGATCAAAACTATTGATCGATGACACCTTTATAAATGGATCAACAAAGTTATGTTCCAATGCAATGTCCTAGCCATGAGTACATATTCTTGCCAGACAATATCATGTAGGACATGATACTTTCCTCTCAGTGTACCTTGTTCCTCTATGGAACATTGGGTCATTGGTTTGGACTGCTTCTACACTATTGTCACAATATAGCTCGATAGGCAGGCTAGTATGCTCCACAACCTCTAAATTAGTGAGATCAAACTAAAAGGCTTCCTTTGCCGCCTTTAAGGCTGCAATGTACTCCACCTGCAGGTTTGAGTCAGCAGTCGAAATCTGCTTAACAATCTACTAACTGATTTCCCTTCCATTGAGTGAACATACACTAAGTTATAAACCTCATAGTATCTACTTCTAATTGAAAATCAGAACTAGCATACATGACTCAGACCATATCATCACATCCATAAATGAGTATGAAATCATTGGTTCTTTTAAGGTACTTTATGATATTTTTCACAACAGACTAGTTATCATGCCCGAGATTGGACTGATATCTACGGACTATCCCTACTATGTAGCGGATGTCCTGTTTGGTATAAATCATGGCATATACGAGACTCCCATATGCCGAAGCATATTGTTCCAGTCTCATTTGCTCAATCTCCTCTACTAGTCTTGGATAACTACTTACTAGAGAGAGCAACCCATGTCAATAACGCAAGAACTCATACTTTGAGTTTTACGTACCAAACTTGGTCAAAACTTTATTAATGTAGGATTATTAAGATAAGCCTATTTTCCTTTTAACCTGATCTTGCAAAAGCTTGATCATAGGAATATTCCTTACATCTTAAAGATCCTTCATTTCAAAGTAATTGAACAACTACCTCTTTACTAATGACTAAACTTCCACGTCATTCTAAATGAGTAGGATGTCATCAATATACAGAATTAGAAAAAATAATGACATTCCCTTGTACACTCATGATTTATTAACTAAGAAATCTTCTTGTATCTTTTTGTAGATTAACTTGCCTTCCATAGGTATCACCCTACTAGAAAGTTCTACAAGATTCCAGATTTAGTTAGAATATATAGATTCCAACTCTGATTTCATAGCAACTCGCCAAAACGATCTGTATCCATATCGGTTCACGCTTCCATGTAACTTACTAGGTCCAACTCATGTTTAACAGGGATGTCCATAACGGTCTCACCTAAAAACATGGTTATGTCGGATTGGATGATAATCCTTCCATTACAACAATGTACTGATGCAGGAATCTGTGTACTAGATGATGTTGATGCATCAATAGGGAATTCATATATTATTCTTAATTTCTATAATAAGTGTGTTCACATGTGGTACATCTAGTACTCATACTATATTCTCTAACATTATGCTACTAGGTATATGATTCATAATATGATCCTCCTATAGATAAATAGTGAGTGTAAACAATCAACTTTTATCATTGAGATCATTAAATAATCCATCCTAGTGCCTTTAGAGTAGCTATCAAATCTATCATGCATATGATTTGCTTCCAACTTACTTGTTCATATCAAGCGCACATGTGCAAGACTACCCCATATGTGCATATGATAAAAACTAAGATTTAATCAAAAACACAAATCAAACGGTATCCTTGAGATAGACAAAGATGGAATGCAGTTCATAATGTGCATCGATATCGTCAAGCTAAACTCTAAAATGAAAGAGATAATGAAACATACCTGATCATAAATCTAACCATGTTAAGCCGAATTCTGTTATTCCTATTTGACACCTAAATCTATTTAGCGTTAATTGCGAAAAACTGGTACACAGCACCCTCATTGACCATATAGTCTTTGCATTATCCCAAGAAATACTCATATCCACGATCAGATCGAAGTGTTTTGATAAGTTTACCTAATTTGTGCTCCACGTTAGTCTTGATACTTTCAAAATATACCAAAAGTTTAAGACTCGTGTCGCATCAAATAAATTTATCCAAAACATGAGTAATCTTGCTTGGATGTTCATAAGACCACAGGTGTCAGTATGTACCGACTCCAATTGTTCTTTATGTCTATTTCATTTAGCTGATTAAGCCCTTAGGGTTATCTATCCTTCAAAACAGGATTCATAAGTTTGGTTTAGGCTCATCTGCCTCACTAGGTTATAAACCTTCTTTGACCAATCTTTGAATCTCATTTTGACTGATTACATCCCAAAAATAGACATTAAAAATACAATGAGTCAGGAATAACAAATTTTCTCTTAACTTTCAATCTAGAAGATGCAACATTAGTTTCTACATCTTACAAATATTAAGAGTTTGTGGTTATAGTATATTGACCATCTTTCAATGCACCAGAAATAATCGCACATCTATTCAATTTGATAAAACCAGTTTTACAAAATAATAACACAGTTTTTATAAACCAAAAGTGAAACAAGAATTAGATTGCGTCTAACATCTGTGCATAAAAATAGTTCTCTAATACTCATATCCTCAAACTCTCTAATTTTAGATGTAATACTCCCACTGACTTAGCTACAACCTTAATATTAGGTCAAGTACAAATATATATCCATATCATCGAGGCTTCTGGATTCCTGAAATTCTTGCAACGAATTGCAAACATGTTTAGTAACTCCAGAATCTATCCATCAGGAATTAATAGATACAACCACATAACATGGCTCAATGATTAAATAAATATTTTCCTATACCACGTCATTGCTTAGACAGTTCGTCATTTAGTGTCTTAGTTAGCAGCAAAAGAAACAGTTTCCTTCGCCTTCAATATACACTGCCTTATTTCCTTTAACCATATGGATACCCATATTTTGTGCTAACCCAGCCCTATTATCATCCTTCTTCTTTCCTTTGCCCTTTCACTTCGGCCTAGAAGAAGATGGTATAGATTAGGTTAGATTGATAGGAACACCCATACACTTGATTATCCCTTCATCTGTTACCAATTCTATAAGAATATCAGCGAGTGTGAACTCAAACTGTTTTTAGTTTACTCTGAAAGAGCCGAACGAGTTTGGTAACAAGACAATAATCATGTCAATTTGAAACTTACCATTCAAGTCAGCCCTATTGCCCTCCAGTTCAATTTTTAAATAATAAACAATCATTTTCCAAAATTCGATCTCATCATGGAGTTCCTTAGGCTATCTTGATGGTATTCAAGTCTGACATGGTACTTTGGCATACTTTATATCTAATCTCACCAAAACATGTTATTGACATTTAGCATGATGCTTGAAGAAAATAAAATAATGTAAATGTTAGCTTTGAAGCGTATTCGAGATAAACTCTAAAATATTACTCCAAGTCATATCATTTGTTTTATTTCACTTATTAAAAGCATTAATGTACTCTTAGGTATCTTTAAAGCAAAAGGATTAGGAATAGGAGTAATAAATACTTTTGTACCCTTACATTGTGAGTAAAATATCTAAGTTCCTTTTTCAATCATTATAAATGAGGTCCACATACATTGAATATGTTAGCAAGCAGAGAAAATGGATTAGACATAATTAATCTGAATATAAATGCATTCATACAATATGCAAGGTAAATTATTAATACTATCATGCATATTTAAAATTAAAATGATTTTGTTAACCACACAATATAATAAATCTCAAATAAAATAAGAGATCATTATCATTATTGGTAAACAATCCCTTTTAATTAATGCGGGTCCCACAACTTCGTAGCAGAATAAATCACACAATCAAAACGTCAATAACTTATCCTGATGAATGAGTTCATTATTACCATTGTTGTGATTCATTTGTTATTAGGTGAGCATTTCCATTAAAATAATAATATGTGGGTCCCTTAACCACTGCATGAAAAATCGGATAACTAATACGCCAATAAATTATTCAGTTGGCGAAATTCATTATTGCTATTGGAGTACAAATCCCATCATTTCCATATCTCTTAAAACAATGCCTTATCTATCTATATGAAATGATTCCCGATTAGGTTTAGCCTTTTTAAAATCACCTAGTGTAGACCACTCCATTGGGGAGCTAACACTATTGATTTTAGATTGAGTGTATAACGTTATTAAAACTCTAATGAAAAATAAAATATTAAATATCTTGTCATTATAATCTAGACTCTTTAAATCATGCGTAGGGCCTTATTTTTAAAGATTTAATTATAATGAACATTTAATATTATTATTTTCATGAGACAACCATTCTTGTAATATTAAGACTCTTCAAATCATGCGTGGGGCCTTATTTTTGAAGATCTAATTACAATGATTTTAATAATGAAAGCCATGGGGTAATGTATAAAAATCCCCGCTACCACTCAATTTTTAATCATTCATAATTAGGGTTTTTTATTTTATTCATTTACATGATATAATGCATGCAAAACGTCTTGATTTTAATCCAATTAAATTTAGAAAATATTTGAACTTTAAATGATTTACTAATATTTAATTTGAGGCACACTTTAAAAATAATTTACAAAAATAATTTTTCGTTCCCCAATAAGTGCCCTCTAATTAATTAGTAATCAAAATCAATTAATTTTCTTAATTTAATTAATATAAATCAAGTCATTTAAATAAATATCATGGATCCAATGCATGAATAATAATTAATTAACAATTATCTATTCCATGCATGACATACATCACATAAATAAATTAATGGCAGATAAAGCAAATTAAATGGCCAATGGATTTAGCTTTTAACATTTAACTGCTCTAAGTATTGTGCGAGTGTCTTCAATCGGCTTGTCAACACCTGTAGGAAGCTGGTACGCGTCTGGTGAAGCAAAATAGAGCTTGGAATGCGCCCGGAGGACTACGCACGCGCTGGCACGCGCCAAAACAGGGCTACAGCACGTGGCACGTGCCTCCATGCCCCATAGGTCTATTGCAGCGCGTGGCACGCGCTCCCACGCTCTGGCTATTCCAAGAAGTACTGGCGCGTGTTCATCACGCGCCAGATGGCTGTTGGGCACATTGTCTTTCCCCGCGCGTGAGATCCACTCTCTCCTGGATTGGCAGCACCTTGAACCCTCCATGAACTGCGCTACACTCTATCTTTTCCAGCCACTGATGGAAATCTAAAGGCTAGTGATATGCGCGCATGTGAAGCCCGTCGCACCGGATTAGCCACCTCATCTCCAGCCCTGACCTATCCGCCGACCACCTTCCGGTCGCCGGAAAATCTCCGAATAATCCAGAAAAATTAATAAAAATTTTCAGAAATTAAATTTAAGCCTAAAAAATTCCAGAAAAATTCCGAAAAATTCGGAAAAAGTTCCAGAAAATTCCTGAAGCCTAATTTAACTCTCTTGGACTTTTTTGAAGTTTCATAGTATCCTTTGACGAAGATTACATGGTTTTAAAAATATTTATAATTTGAAATACAATGGAAAAAATTAAATTTCATCATTGAACTTTCAAACGGCTAAATCAAAGCCTTAATTACATTCATCCAAAGATAAAATTACATTTATTTAACCTATAAATTTCATCCATGGCCTAAACATACATCATCATCCATTCACAATTATACATACATCATCATGTATCAATATATATCAATATATTAACTCATACATCAACATACATCAATAAATAAATATATGCATATCAAAATTGGATCCATGAATGATGAATTTTGATAGAAACATGATCTCTAGTAATGAATCAAACCATGCTCTGATACCACTGTTGGGAAACGTGTAAGTTTTAAAAATTTTCGAGGGATTTTAATTCATAGATCTTGATTCATCACACAGAGACAAGTTTTATATAAAAATAAAATATGATGTATCATTCAATTAATAGATTGAATACTTACATGAAAAGTCTGAGTAAACCTTTAAATCTTTCCTCTAAAGTGAATGTTCTCACTTATTGTAAATCCCTTAGCAAGATGCCTTCTCCTTGGATCTCCATCTTCTTGGTAATTATTTTGCCTTTAGGAATCACTTATAAACCTCCATGAATGACCTTGGAAAACTAGGCTTGTGGGAGCCTCCATTAGATGAGAACACTAACCCTAATTTTCTAGAGAGAGAAAATATATTTCTTATTCCTTCTCATCCAAAATCACCCTAAAATATACATAGACCATGTATATATAGGCAACATAAAGATAAAAAAAAAAAATGAAATAATAAATCATTCTCAATCTCTAATTCACATATCTCAAATTCAATAGAATTCCAATATCAAGTTGGACTATGAGTGAGAATCCTTTAGGCTTATTATTTTATTGGGTACAATGAATTAATAATTGGCCCGGTCCATGGACCCAATTCAATTAATTCATAAATTAATTTCTACTCCACTAAAAGAAATTAATTGAATTCTAATTAAATAATAAATAACCTCTAAGTCAATATTGCACTTTGACCCCTCTATGCATAATTAGTTATCGGATATATAAAGCCATCAATCTAATTGCTTAATTAATATATTTATTTTGGTACCTTTGATTATTTCTGGCTCGATCACAATAAAATATTTGTTAGACAAAAATAATAATTTAAATAAATAAATATATTATAAATCATTTCGTCTAAAAACATACGAAGGCCTTCGAATTTACTTTGTGATCAACCATAATTAATACAAAATAAATACAAATAGTAAGATGCAAATATTGAAAATATAACCCTCTAACTATTAATTACATAACTACCTAAAGTGTCGGTTTAAGGATCCTGAAGAATCCGCCTTACAAATCAAAGTAATTATTAATTAATAAAAGAGTCTATATTTTTCTCATACGTAAGAATCAAATGACATGACGGTGATAGAGAGCAATTGCATACAACGGCTCTTGCAATATATCTCAACCTAACGCGGATCCAGTTTAAGTCTTAATTAATTATGAGTCCATCCATAATTACCGACTATGAACAATTTATAATTACTATTTATATTCATGTATTGATCGCCATCACATACATATGTAAATAACTCTTGTAATCAAGTGGACACTATCAATTTTATAATAAATCGAAACATAATACATTGAATTCACCAATTGTATAAAGCATAAATATTTCAGAAACGTCAGGAACATATGTCACTATAATGCAGATAGGAATTTGCTATGCCAGGGCATATAAATCCTAACACCTCCAACTTTCCAACTCCTCAAGCTCCCCACAGCGGGCAGCTTGGGGAGAAAAAACCTGTAGGAACCTCGGGCCCCTATCCCAAGTATTGCAGGAAACGAGAGGCCTTTGAGTTAGGGCAGGGCCCATTCGACTGGAGCGAGGCACCACCAAACCAAAAGAGTGAGGGGTAGCTACCCCCTCCTCTTATGAGCCCAGGTGCTCACATACCAGGCCCTAATAGTTCGAGATTCTTAGGACTTTCAGAGTAAAGTCAAGCAGGACCCAGTACTGCCATTCAGTGACTAGCCAGGTAATATTATTATCCATTAGGGACACGTGGCGTCCCTTGTGGCAGTGACTATCAACGTTATTATTCGGTACGGACACGTGTCGTCCCTTGTGACAGTGACTATCAGCATCCTCTAATTACATTGTCTTCTAATTAATCTGCTTTAGCGTTGTGTTCCCTACAGGAAGTAACATATATTCAAGTACAGTGAAAAAAAAATACATATATATATATATATATATATATATATTTCGGTGAATCTACTTACATATGTTTTGTTACTTGTAGCTTTTAATTCTGTTTGCACTTTGCACCCTTGTTGGTGCCTTTTTTTTTTTTTTTTTTTTTTTTTTTGTGGAAATTCAAGCAACATTGTCTGTGCTTGTTTGTATAGTTTCTTCCATCTAGATACTCACTCACCTTACCAAAAAAAAAGTAGTGATATTAATTTCATGTATTTAATTAGATATATCTTCCTCCTGTAGTTGATGTAATTCAGTAGCCCTAGCTACTAGGTTTTGACCACAAGGCATCAAGGTACCCCATGAAATTATAGGTAGCTCACAAGGCATATATATATATATATATATATATGATGTGGTGATATATGATTCCTATATATTGGACATCTGATGATGGAGAATATTCTCGTACTTCTCTTATACGATTACTGATATAGAATATGGTTTTTTATTAAACCAGTGAAGTATATACATATATATATATATAAAAACATGTATATAATATCTCTATCCGGTTGATATGTCAATTTCATGATAAGATCAATATATAATACAGTGCTATATGTATGTTGGAAATTTGAACCACTTGAGGCAAGATATATCTCTTTTACCACTTCTAATATTATGTACTATATACACCACCACTACAAAAATTATATATATATATATATATATATATATATATATATATATATATTGTCATGTTTAATTAATTAGGAGAGTGAGAAAAGTAGAAGAACTTATCTGCCTTTGACTCAGAGAAGGGAAGATCATTTATATCACAGTCCATTAATGACCTCCACTCATAATGTTGCTTGCCCAAATGAGCATCTCAGAAACAGCAGCACCATATATACATACTTCAGAGATGGAAAGACTGGTTGTAACAGAAGCAATAGTACCCAATCCTTCACAATCTAAATATGTGAAAGTTGTGAAACATCGCTACCATCACATATATATACACACACGCACACATATATATGTACTGGGTCATGGAAGAATCAGAAAGGGCGCTAGCTGCATATGGCACACAAAGACAGAATTGTTGTAGATGCAAAGAAGGCCACTGCCTTTGGAATACTCATTTGAGCAAGAAATATTACAAGGAGGATCCAAATGAATCATATGCATGGAAGGTATCTCTCTCTCTCTCTCCCTCTCTAAAAAGATGAATCTCACACATTTTCACAGGTAGGTATCCATGAATTAATGAGTAATGATAGTGCTGGTACAAGTCATTGTTATAAATAGAAGAATATAGAGAGATACCATGTTGACACGTAATTACCAAAATGCCAATTTCCCAACAAAAAGGTTGGTTACTGGTGCGTGGTATAGCACAACCCTAACTGGGAAATATGGGTTACACATTCAATGACTAAACTGCCCCTTCTTCATTTCTTTGTGTCCGTTGCTGAAAAGGGTATTTTGGGGAAGACCCAAACTGGGAAAGTTGGGGTACACATTCAATGACTAAACTGCCCCTTCTTCATTTCTTTGTGTCCGTTGCTGAGAAGGGTATTTTGGGGAAGAAAGATTTATCAACAGTGACGGGTGGTAGAGGATTTGGTTAGAGACACTTGACAGTCGGTTTAGACAATAGAGGAAATGGAATTGTAGTTGTTGATGGAATGGCAGTTCAAAGTCCATCAACCAAACTAGCAACAACTGATTAATTAGTCTCCTTCCATAATGACGGCAATAATGTATTAATTATTACAAGTATATCCACTACAAACTTTCCTTAGCCTTAATCCAATGTTCATGAAAATGGTATCTTTTTTTGATAAGGATGGCTATACCCGTATCTGAAGTTGTGGTCCAAATTTTTTGGGATTGTAATATCTTATTTTTTTGGATAATGAAATTCATATGTTTTACGTTAAATTACGTAAATTTGTGCATTCATGATTTATCACTAGTTTTCATTTTTAGTCTTGCGCACTCTCAAGTCATGAGTGGAATAAGTTAAATAAATAAAAATAAATATTAGAGACGTTATCGACCCAATCATTTGTTTGCTTAAAATATTATTCATGACATGTATTGAAATATGTATATAAATAATTTTTAAAGTATCTAAACTTGAACAAATTTCTTGACACGTAACCTACCAAATAAAATATTTATAATTTCAAAGCAAATACATGTGAACTCAACTTCTCCGGACTGACAGATGGTCGAAGAAGTTGTTAATATATGGTCAAAAGGACTTTGGATTTGTCATTAACTTCCGTGACAAAGGAGACATCGATAATTAAGAATTGCCCACAAATCAGGGACCTTGTATATGGATTGTTTTTTTGTTCTTTTTAAATTGAGGATTACAAAACTGGCTTCTAAGAAGAAGTCAAGACTGAGAAGCATATATCAGCCCTATGCATCGAGATATTAGAAGTCGCAATAATCAAATGACTTTGGCCAATATTTTTTTTACTCAATATGATTATTTTATCTACTTTAAAAGAACAAAATCATTTAGCTAGGTTTTTCCCTACTTGATTTGATCTTATGTGGAATTGGGTATGTGGAGGTGCCTTGTTGATGCAGATTGGAGCTATTATCTTAGTGAAAGCCTGACATTTGGTCACTCCAGTTGCTGCTCTTCTCTCTTGGTAGTTTCCATTCTAGATCGATGGTTCTTTCTCAACAAATCTGAAGCATGTTCTTTATTTTTCTTATTTTGCTTCATGATTTGTATGCCTTTATCGGCTTAGCTAATGCCTTGTACTGCAACTTTGGCTTGCCTTTGTGCCTTTCAAATGATAATAAAAAATAAAATAAAAAATTAGCTAGGTTTTCTTTTAATTATAAGCTATTGGATACAGAACTATAAACCGTCGTCGCTAAAACCCTACCCTACTCTTAAAAGATTTAACAAAACACATAATAATAATTAAGGATAATTACATTTGTCTTATTTGTAAATTGCGAACATTTTTTTATAGTTTTAAATATAACATTGACATCCTCTATTAGTGTTTACTTTGACCTGAAGGTGTTAAATAACTATTATACCTATTATACTTTTATTGTTTCTTAATGTAAAATATTTGTTTCTTTATGAATAAAATAACATTTTTAAGCTTTCTAAGGGAATTTTTGAATTTTATGTAAATATTGAGCATAACATTAATAATAAAGAGTGTCACATTTTATGACAGAAACATTAGTGTTACTCATACTTGAACTAGGGGAGGTCAGTGTCATATTTGAAATTAGTATATGGAAGTAGGATTGCAAAGTAAGGAGGGCTAAAAATAATTAAACTCATGATTGCTTAGTGTGTTGTCATCTATACTCTAAATACATAATTATCATGCATCAGTTATTCAATTAAACCCAATAATTTACAACTTTCTAACACATTTACACTTCCAAGCTCTAACGTATTTTCACAGTCAAGAAGTCATTGAAGTTTGCTTCATACAAGTATTAAAACTATAAGAATGAAAGATATATATGTTCCTTATTAATAAATTCACATTAAAAAGTAAGACCTATGTGCTCTGCCTCTGACTAGTTATTAATCCATTATATAGTAAATTACCTAATTTAACAAAAAATTATCAAGTCATCAATAAAGCCCTTTTTTTTATTTTTTTACTTTTATTTTATTTTTTTACAAAAATAAAATTCAATATTTCATTAGATTAACAATAATAATCCATGATATTTATCCACCTATGCCTTAGTGCCTTAAACATGAAGAGTTTAGGTCTTTTTCCATAGATTGACAATGTGTTTGATTTACTGGGCTGGGCCTTATTATATTTTATTATGGTTTATTTTGTGATTGGGCATGTCTATGGCTTGTGGGTTTGCTCATATTTAAGGTTTGACCTTTGTAAATTTTATAACTCTTTTTATTTATAGAAATACTATGGATTGGGTTGAGCTGATAGGAAGAGGAAGAGTAGTACATGGGCTTCTAGGAACAATAGTACTAAATTTTTTTTTTCAATTGGACCTGGGCTATAACCCAGGTTAGCCCATTGCTAGTTCCTCCCTTGTATGGAAGACTCATATTATTTATGCTTCGTTTGATAAGAAGGAACGAAGAAAGGAAGAGGGGTGGAGGGAAGATAGGAAGAAAATAAGAGGAGATAAGGAGAGAAAATATAATACGAATCATTTCTCCAAATATGAACGAAAGAGAGGAGGGAAGATAAGTGAAGCTATTATATAAGTTTTAAATTATAGTACTATCCTCCGTAAATTACAATATTATAGATATTGATAGGTATAATGGTAAAAAAATTAAAACCATCCTCTTTGCTCCTAAAGAGGACACTAATTTGTGAGCTTTTTCCCTTCTCTTCCATCTAACCATTTAACCGAACAAAAAAAGAGAAACACATAATCGATCAATTCTTTTCTCTCTTCCATCCAAATTTTTTCCTTCCCACCGAAGGAAGCATTAGGCAATCTCCAGATGAGGTAAGGTAGTTATCCGTAATAATTACAAAGCAAATATATCCCAAATAATTGCAAAGCGGAGACAACATTATGCGATTTGACATTCTTTTTTCTATTTTTTTCCAAAATAATTAATCGAGATTAGAGTAATTAAGACTTATAGTCCCATAGTATCTCTTTTACTTAAAAGGTTCATGGTTCAACTCTTACTTTAAATATATATAAAAATAAAATCCTTAAGTGCAGAAGAAAATTGACATACCCCAACCCAATTTACACTATTTAATAAATTGAACAAATTGTAATGTATCTAACCATCTGCATTAATCTCACTCAACATGACATCATCATATATCAGAGTACCTGCTTAACAGTTTACAATTTAAAACAAAATATAGGCCTGTTATGCAAATTCTGACAAGCTAAAACGTTAACGACAAGTTACACTATTAAATTCTACTACATGTACATCTTAAACAAAAGACGTTCCATTGTTCTTTTTCCCATTCCTACTCAAGATTCTAAACCTGGTAGTAGCGACCCAACCTTGTACCTGAAAATATAGATATGGAAGGAGTGAGCTTAAAGCCCAGTGAATGCAACACTACAATATCAGAGTAATATAAACAAATATTATCTGACAACTTCAATTTAACTTCATTACATATATCTTCCAATTTTACAAGCATGTAACATATAATACTCTCCTTCTAGGTCAGAGTATGGACCTTATTTAAATATAGTACTCTCCTTCTTGGCCAGAGTATGGACCTTATTTAATGTAGTACTCTCTTTCCAGGCCAGAGTATGGAACTTATGTAATATATTACTCTCCTTCCAGGCCAGAGTATGGACCTTATATAATATATATAAGCAATTCCATATCAAATAAATATCTTCGATACTTCAACATACCCATTCAAGTATAAATTTCTAGTGAGTACACTCACCTTGGCTACTTTTCAAATTATTTAATTATCCTTCCGTATGGTTGTACCTTCCGTTTCCTTCTTCTTGCGTATACAACATTATAACCAAGTTATATTTATTTTCTAAAGAGAATTAAATCACAATCATCACCTCAATTAAAATTCTCAAACTTTATACACACGTTTTGGCTAAATTCAAATCACATGCCTTAATATAAATTTTCAGCTTGAAAACTCCAAAGAAATAACCATAACCATGGTATCACTTTACACAAAGCAGCCTTTGAATAAATTAAAAAATATAAAATAGCTGATATACAAACTAGAACAGGTAATTGTATTAATTATTACTACAAGTTAAGTAATAAACTTTCAATATAGAATAAAAATATAAAACCCCTCACCTGTACTTGAGTTCAATAACAATTTAGTGAGAAAAATCCTTTTCTTTTCTATTCCCTTTCTTTTTATTTTTGTTCTCTCTTCCGACTCTGATTGTATTGCACTGTTTGTGGTATATTTTGTTGTGTTTCCAACAAAACGATAGTTTTTTCGAAGGCAATTCCAACAAGCTGTAAAGGTAACTTTAATCTTATACATATCTAAATATATTTTCTACAACTACTTGTCTATGTTCGGTCCATTCTTGTGCTGCCAGCCACTTGACACTCATCCTCATCCATCAACATGATAATTGCAATTATATCTAATATATACCAGTAACTATGTAGTGCAGCCACCACCTCAAGAGTTTTATTAAAGCACAAAACTTTTAGTCTTGGAAAGTGTACACGTAATCACATGAGTTGTAAAAATCTAGTCTCCTGGAATGGAGATTATCAATTAACTTGTATGTGCCATGTGTCACCCCAAACTTATTACCACTTCATTCCTTACGTGCATATATAATTATATATATATGCTCCCAATAGTATACTACCTCTCAAGCTTCGGGAGAAAACTTTAATCATCAAAATAATATAATAGCACATATACTTTACATTACCACCTCATAAACACACATCCAATTACCTTCGGTACACACACACTGCATTACTAAATAAAATGGGTGTCACAGATTCCTCATTTCTTTTCTTTCATTTAAATTTTTAAATCAATTAAATAAGTAAATTTAAGCTCAAATAACCATTAAATAAATTCACAATAATAAATAAAGGACTAATAAAAAAATTCTGGATATGACAAAAATCCTGAAAAGCTTTAGAAAGAAAATGCTAGAAGCATCCATTTAAATACAAAACAAATCACAAAGTAAAAATTAAAGGCAAATAAAGGATAGAGTAAAGGGTAAGAGATTGACCCCAGTTTTTTTGGCTTGGAAATCATATCGGGAAAATATCATCTAACAAGGGAAAAAATTACGGAGACTTTTATAGTCTCCAGTGAAACAATTCACTATCTTCCAAGCAAAGTACAACAGACTTTGATTTAGGCTCACAATCACTTCATTTTACCAAGAAATAGTTGTTGACGTATTTCTGACTTTGCGACTCTCCTGTCCAAACGCTCTAACTTCAGACTTACTCAGATTAAGGAGTAACTTCAGACCCGTCCAAAAGTTATATTCGAAAATGGATCGGCGAAGTTGAACAGGTCTGTTTTTGACAATTTTGAGCTCAAGAATTTCAAGAATTGAAGAATAAGTTTGAAGTTTAGACCGTTTGGACCGATCCATTTTGGTAGATGGAAGGATTGACGGGTCTAAATCCGAATCCTTGAGTCTACCAAATCTTAGACCGATTCAGACTTGGATAGAGGAGTAACTTTTGGATTGGTCCAAAACTTCAGACCCGTCCAAAAGTTGGACCAATCTATTTTTGGCAGCCTAAGATCTTTTGTTTTTAAGAATTTTTAACAAACTCAAATATTTCTTTAGTGTTAAAAATATACTAAAATGAACTCATGTGCTCACATACCTTTAACTAATATATGATATTCTCAACCAATTGGAATATGCTTTCACTTTTTCCCATCCTTTTAATTAACACCAAGACTCGAGATTAAAATTCAAAAGTACAACCCGTTCGGATTGGTTTTGACATTAAAATTTGTTCAACCACACACTTTTGTAACCTTATTAATCTGGACAAAAAGAAAAAAAAAAAAGAAAAAAAAAAATGGAATAGTTTTATATGAGCAATGATATATTGGCAACAAGTGTTAATGTAAATGTTTATAGCTACAAAAGTTTTCGTCATTTTGATATGATGCTGTTTAACAGTAACTGCATGTGAGTTGGACTTTTTCAGGGACAAATGCTTTTCATGGCAATTATTTTTCTTGACAGAGCTTTTCCTTTTTTGTGAGGAATGGATTTGATGGTGTAGTGGTGCGGTGAGTCTCTGTCTGACAGTTTCAGGGACAAATGCTTTTCATGGCAATTATTTTTCTGGACAGAAATTTTCCTTTTTTGTGAGGAATGGTTTTGATGGTGTAGTGTGCGGTGAGTCTTTCAGGGACAAATCCTTTTCATGGCAATTATTTTTCTTGACAGAACTTTTCCATTTTTGTGAGGAATGGTTTTGATGGTGTAGTGTGCGGTGAGTCTCTGTCTAACAGTTTCATAAAATAAAAAATGGTGATCTCATTAGTCTTCTTATCCAAAATTTGAGGGTGTAGGTCAATATGAAACTTAACATCTTGTAATAGTTGATGCAAAATGAAGAAATAATAGGAGTTTTTTCTTTCTTATTATTATTATTATTATTATATATATATATATATATATATATATATATATATATTTTAATATGTGTTTTGAATTTTAGTAAGAGTCTCTCCTATTTGTGAAATTATTGATTTGACTCAAAAATAACAAACTCCTCAACCCTCTCTCTCTATAATCCTTTCTTCATTCATTCTCGTCTTCCAATTTCTGATCTAATTTTTGTTTATTTCAATTATTTCAGTTAAGTTTATCCTTCATATACTTTAATATTGTTCAACACACCCTTCCCCCTCAAAGTATTTTTTGACTCCGTCACTGCATCGCTGGAGTATACTCAAACCATTCACTTCCTTTTGTAAGAGAAAGTTCTTAACCACTTGTGCCAATGTTTGGTAAATTAATATTTCTCAAAAGTTAGAATGTTGAACTTTTACAATTTATAGCAATTTACCTTGCAGCTGTGTAAGTCGACAATACTGATGGTTAATAAATAAATATAAATAAAATTAGTGCTGTCGTTGTAAATAAAAATTAAGTTTCATAATTTTTTTAAATGAATATTGTTCTTGCGTTTCACATATACTCTAACGTACTCTCACTTCAATGCTCCGTTTTTGCTCTTGTTTCCGATCTCAATATTTATATCTTAAATTTATCGCTTTGACTCTCATTCCACTGCATGTGAGTTAGTGTAGATGATCTTTTCATGCCGACAACCCTCCAATGGAAAGAAATTTAGGGGCACTGGTCCCTACTGCAGGAATTAACTCTAATTGTGGGCCTAACTTGCTGTAAGTTAATGGCCACAAAATAATGGTGCACCGGAGAGGATCCACAGGCCACACTACACTCCGGTGCTGACCCCAAATGTTTCACAAGTTGGAGACAACGATATCAACATAAACAAGGGGGGAAAAGTTTTTACATTTGTCCTTTGCGTGGTTTCGAATAAAAACAAGTGGGGAAAAGTTTTTACATTTGTCTTTGCGTGACTTCGAATAAAAAATTTGTTTTGTGGACACACTCATCAATTATTACTACTTCTAATCATCATTTCATCCCTTAAATGATGAGTCTGGCACTACTCCAACCTTTATCTATAATCTATACACATACGTGTGGTGTGGGGTATCAACACACACACGTGTATTATATTCACTTACAAATCTAACATTATGTTTGATCGAAATTGAATATTATGATGACAAGGCAGTGGTTATTAGGCCTTTAATTTTTTTTTAAATGATCAGAGACTCAGGAGTTGCCTCTTTGGAGGCATGTGTATATGAATATCAAAAAAAAAAAAATTAAATATTATGACATTTAAAAGTTGAATTTTCAATGTTAATTGTAAATTCTCATTTACATTTTTAATGAACTGAATTAAATAAACAATCCACACCCATAAACCAAACTTTTTAATTGATAAATGCATGGTCCTCCACTCATCAACTAAACTTTTCACAAGCCAGGAGACTTGGCCTTGTTTAAGCCCTAATCTTTGGGAACATGCTGTACGGTTGTGATGAGAATGGTATGGAAACATTAAACAATGAATTTGTCGGTTTTATATGGGCTTTTATATGTGCCATGTGCAGTTCAATTTCCATCCTCGGACCACCGAAGGGTTATAGTTCAGAAGTATCTCCTCCTCTGTCTGGTGGTATCTCCAGTAGAAGATTCGGCTCTCGATAGTACTATAGTTGTTTTCCAAATAATGCTCTAACAAAAGAAATTTTTCTTTTTAAGAATAAATTGATGGGCCTAATTTGACTTGAGAGGTGGGCTGATATATATAATACAATCAATGATCAGACAGAGACCATAGTAGAGAACTAATGCTTTGAAGTGGGTAAAGTAAACATAAGTTTTTAAGTACAATACAAAACAGTGAAGATCACAAATTGCCTTCACATACATGTTCTACTCTTTTGCTGTATCACTTTGAGAAAATGGTTGTTGCAAAATAACAGCCTACATCAGATAATATTGCTCACAAGGTGGGACAATGAGAAAGAGGACATACATGCAGAAGTTATCGACATCCCAGTTCAGCTCTTCCTTCGTCACTGATAGTCTCATTTCTACAAAGCTTCTGAAGATCTATGTAGCCTATAATGGTGTCCTCAAAAACTACATCTTCCAGCTGCGCTTCATCAAAGGTGGAACCCGACAGTACTGTGTTCTTAAATGAAGCTCCTTGGAGGTTGGCTTTCCCGAAATTAACCCGATCTAGAACAGCATTCGTGAAGTCCGTGCCTGCAAACAATCGGAAATCCCTCTGTCAATCCATAGAAACTAATTGGACGATGTTTTTGTACATTGGGAAATTTCAAATAAAATTACTAGGACATTTAGTGGGAATTCTGTTTGTTTTACATGTCCTTATGGCCAATATTGTATTAATAGGAGCAGCACAACTTCATGAAAGAAATAGGCCTCCAAAAGGCTTCTTGCTTATTTCGTTTTTGGAATTAGTAGTAAAAGAAGAAATGTGTGTTGTAGCTCTCATTGATCAAGAAATGGGTGAAAGATGAGTAAAATATAGAAACCTCAACAGGACCGGAAAACTATATGTTCAAAGCAGACACTTGTTAGATTAGCTTCTCTCTGGACCAGAGAATAAATCTGTATTGCAGGCTCTTGGCGGCACAAGCCTTCAAGAAACGTGTGGGTTGGATATTAAAATGACAGCAATGGACACCTTACAGTTCTCTCTACTTCCCTAAGTCCTAACTTATCAAGGTAGTATCATCATCATCTTAGCAGCTTTAGCCTACTCAGACTTCCAAATCCAGTAATCAAGTGATATTATACACTACCAACATTTTAATGTAACGTGTACTTCACATGGGGGCACTTGGCATGCTGTGAAAATTCTACCACTCTCTCTTCCATAACATTTTAACCACGTCCATTTTTTTCCTTTTTCCCTGGTTCATTTGTTCCCCTACATTTCCCATTTTCAATAAGTCCATCATCATTACATGTGGGAATGGTTTTAATAATTTCATAAAATGTCAGTCATTTCTGCTAACAAAGAAGGAAAATAAACCTCTTTGTTTCAGTCCTTTTATATTATCCTCTCAGGGTATGTATCACCTTGTTTATTTCCAGCCTACGAGGGGAGCTGAAGGGAAAGAATTTTCATGTATGTATATGCCAAGAAAGGTGACGGAAAGTTGGAAACAAAAGGGAACAGTTCTAATGATAGGACATCCAATCAAGCCAGTTTCACTGTGGTTGTGAAAATTTTCAGTTGGAAGTAAAATTGCAGACATATAAATAATGCATGCATGGAGAAACACAATGATCTGCGAACCAGGAGAAAAGTTTCACCCAGGAAAAAAAAAAAAAAAAGTGGGAATGTCTAAAAATGTACCCTTGAAGCTAGCTCCAACAGCATAAGCCTTTGACATTACCACCTCTGACATGTCTGCACCATCAAACTTAGCACCTGACATGAGCGCTGCTGCAAGAGACTTCCCCTTGAGATTGGATTTCTCATTTGTGAAATCGCAAAAGCGGAGATCAATTGGTTTGTCATAAACACCATTGGCTTGACCTATTGTGTTACCCACGAATGCGCGCTCACACCGGTCAGGATCTGTTGACAAAGGAGGCAGCCTCTGCAAGGCAATCATAAAAAAAATATTCTATTGTAATTGGTATAATCATTGAGAGAGTGGATATATTGAGCTAAAGTAATATTAAAAACTAAGAAAAATGAGAAAGGAAATAAATAAATAAATTTATTTCAAGGCGAGGATGGATCTACAGCTATGAAGAAGAGGACCTCGTAGAGTTAACCAGAAGCAGGAAAATAATGAGAATCCTACAAAGATTGATAAGATAAAATTGTGAATGGACAGAGGCTATTCAGTATGGGTAATGACTAACGTGGGAATGTTTAAGATGTGGGATTGTATTCAAAACATTGCTTTTTATTTGATTACTCCATTTTATTTGATTACTCCATTCCTGAAGATAGATTATTGCCTCAAAATTGCCATGAAAACATAATGGACTGATTAAATTTTGATGGGAAATTATGTCTAAATTCTGTGAATAAAATTTCAAGGATTGCACATAAAAACTAAACAACCATCCATCTTTGATGATGTTGAAGGCCGGTTGCTTATGCCCAATGTCAGGCGAAGATTAAAAAGAGCAAATCCTAATTTTTTTTTCAGAACGCCAACATGAAAAACAAATTCCAATACCATTACATGGTACATTGTAACTGCCTGCAAGGGAGTGTAGATTGAAGGATAATCAAGCACAACTCAACAAATCCTTTTCCCAACTACTTGGGGTCAGCTACATGAATCTTATTTTTTCCATTCCGCTCTTATCCGAGGTCATAGCCTCAGTCAATTTGAGAGATAATGAAAGAATATTGAAAAATTAAAATGCTACAAGAGAAGTTGCAAAGGGATTGCGTGGATGGGTGTCTCTTTTAAGAAATTTATAAATAGAATTGCAACAGTTGGAAGAGATGAATTTTCCATAGGTACAAGTAATGCTGTTCCCTTCCTACGTTCTTTTCGTCAAAAAAGAAAATCTAACATGATGTTTGAAAACTTCAGTTGCAATTGTCAAATATATTATATTTTTCCAAGATCCACATGCAATTTATGTTTCAAATATGGATTTATCCAAGAAAGCTCTATTAAGAATGATGGATCCTTGTTTCCTAGATTAGAGAACATAAAGCTACAAAATTTATATAGGCTTATAAGTTTTCCCATAATGCAAGCAGGAAAATTAACAATTTAAACCTGATTAGCAGCAACTAAAATTAACAATTTATATAGGCTTATGTTTCCCGTAAAAGACTGATATCTAGTGTTTCATTTAACTGTGAAATGGAACAGGAAATATATATATATATATATTAATTTAAACCTGATTAGCAGCAACTACAGGTGAGGCAGTGGTGACGGCCCAAACAGCAAGAACGCCACAAGCTACATTTCTAAGTTCCTTGAAATGGAATGAACTTTCCTCAATTTTGGAACCATCCCTAACAGCTGTTCTTACATGAAGAAAACATAAATGACATTTCTTAGTTCAAGGTTGTCCAGTTTAAATTCTGAAGGCAAAGTCACAAAACAAGCTGAACATAATTGAAGAAAGTAATACATATATCAAACTTTCAGTTCCTACCATGTTTTCCATGTCCATTAAATCACTTCAAGACCCACCCCCAAAAAAAAAAAAATTTTGATTAGTCAAAAAAAGGGAATTCTGCTTTTCATTTATTAAAAAACCAATGTTTGATACTCTATTCTCTGCTCTAAATTCCATCTCCCTAAAGGGGGAAAATTTTAATTTTATTTATTCATTAATGGAGATAAGGCTATGCAGCTGTCAACGTTTATGTCACATAGTACAGCAAAATATCAAACAAATTATCGGAGCATAATCACAAATTATGCACAATTTGAAATTTTCATGGAAACATAAGAAGATGTCATCTCTCAAACAATTTCCAAAGTAGTAGGTATATAAACAAATAAACAACTACTTGAGCAATGCGTATACTCACTCAGAAACAAAATTGAGCTTCATACAGATTAGACCCATGATTGCAATCTCTATAGAGTACAAGTAACTAGTAGTATATATGCGATTATATTTATATATGTGTGTGAGATATCACTATATATGTAACTAAGGATATAAAAAGAAATGGAATTCGTGGAGGAATTTGGGGTTCTTACAGGAGGAAATGATTCGGATCGGCGAGTGAAGTTCCGGCACCGGAAAACGGGCTCGTTTGGTTGAGGAATGTTGCGGAGAGAATAGGTTTCGTGAGATGGGAATGGAAAAGCTCGCCATTTTGGGTTTCTTTTTCTGTGCGTCTCAGTTTTTGAAGTCTTGTGTGAACAGTGTGATTATCCATCCACGTTTCCAGAACGACCGTACATATCTCTTACATGGCATGACACCTCGGACTGTGTTTTTCTTGGCCATGTTTGGACGCAGAGTTCACAACTAATTTATTCTACTACTATCGTATAATTATATATATGTACGCATCGGTAGTAAGTGAGAACCAACTATAAAATTAGGTTTCTCTATCTATTTTTTTTTATTTCTTTTTATATATTTTTTTTTCTTTTGCATTCTCAATTTTATAATTATAATAAACATGAAATTAATTATTTATTAATCAAATTATTCAAATATGTAGATTGTTGAAAAAATTGGGATTCTTATTTAAGAGAAAGATGACTCAAAATATAATTTAAAATTTTTTTAAGTGAATTATATTTTTATTTAATTATTCATACATAAAAATTGGTTCAGAAAATTAGCCCCTAAAACTTTTGTCAAACAGTTTTATTTGGATTCAGATTTTACCATAAATAATTTTTTTTTTATTTTTTTTCTCAATCATACCATGTATTCTTTAAACAAAATTGCTTTCAGAATACAAAGTTAAATTTCCATATCATCCGTCACAAAATTGTCATGTCATCTACAATGTAATTCAAGTTATTTTTATGATACCCATATATTTTCTATCATGACGATAGTGATCACATACTCACAAATTCACAATCCATCTTCAGGTATGCAGTCTCCTCAATCCATCTTCAAGTATGTATCAGAAAATGTGTATGTATTCGGTGATACATAGGCGTTGATAACGCAATTTAAGGTTTAACTCTAATCAGTTTAGGTGATTATTCAATTAAGTATATTTAAAATTTTAACGTAGGATAAATTTTCAAATGAAATAGACATCACTTATTATTACATGTTGAATACTGAAAATATAAAAAAATATTTATTTTTTATTTACCACTTAAAAACATCATATTTTAAAATTTTGAGTACTTAACTTTTAATTGGAAAATGATAGGGTTACCGAATGATTTTCTCGAATAAGTCCTGAATCTGACGTATTTTTATCCACCTCATCTACTTAAATAGTTTTCAAAAAATAATTGTTTAACACGTGAAAAGTATAGCCAACCACGTCAAATTCGGTGTTAATTCAAAAATTCCTTTTCGATTTCTCTATCATTACTCCTTTTAATTTTACCAAGTAACGTCTAAATTCCATTGAATTTTGCTACTCTATGATAAAAACCACACTTATCCGACTCAATACGACACAAGAATCATCTCAGTTGAATTTACACATTGTTTAATTGTTAAAAAAATTAATGTGAGATATTTTTTCAAAGGTTAATGTCTTACATTTTTTTTTTTTTAAACATAATCAAATATTATAAATACTAAGATAAAAGATCCTTTTGAAATACATTTGACAATCAAAAAAGCCACACTTGCCACTACAAATCACATATCCTTTGACGAAGAGCCCATTTACCCATCGCATGTGCCGCTCTATTGCATAAACGTGGGCACCAAACCAACTTAAACCCCAAGTTTTGATAAATCAATCATTGGATATATTGAATAATGACTGAACATAAAAGGTCTTTAAAGGTAAGATTAATCACTGATTGACAATCACACTCAACATCCACATTTGAATACCCCCACTAACCAAGAAGTTTCAAACCATCCCTGAGTACTAGAGCCTCTGCAACCTCTGCCTGCTCACATCTTGATAAAACACTGTAGCCACCTTGACAGCTTATTCACAATGATTACGGAGTACCAAACCACCCCCACTAAAACCAGTTAGCTTATGAAATGATACATCTGTATTCAATTTATATCTACCAAGAGCAAGACTAATCCAACTATTAGTACGAGGATTACCACCACCAGTGGGCGATGCATTAGCGGTTTCCTCTGACAAAGTGCCACTGAATTCATTAAAGAAGAACACCGCTTTTTCCATAATCATCACTGGATCCCATTCAATTTTATTAAAAACCAAGTCGTTTCGTCCTTTCCAAATCTGCCAGCTCAAGAAAGATGCCAAGCTCATAAGACGATTAACCTCGTGATAATCTTTCCAAAGGCTTTGCATTTCACACCACTTGGTATACCATGTTTGGCACTTACCTATGAAATGAAGCCTCAAGGGACTAAGTTTCCAAACCAATCAAGCTCTAGGACAATCAAAGAGCACATGACATACTGTTTCTTCTTCCTCTCCACAAATTACACAAGAAGCTTGATTAACCAGACCTCTCTTCTTAAGATTCGACAATATTGGAAGGCGTTCATGGCAGCACTGTCAAAGGAAGAGATGAATTTTCCTCAAAGTTGGTGGCCACCAAATTTGCTTCCAAATGGTCTCTCTACTTGGTTGGCTGCTGGAACTTGCTTGACAATGATTGATGTCTTACAATTAATCAAGTCATATTAGATATTATTTTCTAAACTATACCTTTAAAGTATCTTAAATTTTTGAATCGACGTGAAACATCTTAAATTATCTATAATTTAACTTACTTTAAGCAATAGTTTTCGTGGAGGATCAAAATCTCTCAAATAAATCCAAGCTCTAATTTAAGTTTAAATTAGATTCATACTATTGATCTGCATTTCTTCTGACTATTAAATTTTTTAATATTCATAATAATAATTTAAGTTAAATTCCGATTAGACTTAGTTTTTTTTTAGTACTTCTCCAATTTACAAACTCAACTTTAAACTTTTACTTTGAAATGTAAAAAATACAATTAAATTTCAAACCCCAATAATCTGAATGGACTTAAGGTTAAATTCTTATTCTTATTATTATAATTATTTTAACCAATATAAAAATCCATCAAATTCTACCTGATTAGACTCGGGTTGGTAAGCCATTGGACTCGAGTTGGCAAGCCGTCCAAGTTCCGCCCCTGCTCTCAATTTGACAGTTTGACCAACTTCTCCTCTCCTTGTGTTCACTTCTCTCTCTCTCTACAGTCCACACACACTTTAAATTCTCTCTTTCTTGGGTTCCACTTTCTCTCTCTAAAACCCTTCCTCGATCAAACCAAAACCTAGGGTTCTTGTATCAAAGAAGATGGAGAATTCAAGCTTCTTATCGTACGAAAAGCTGGATCGCCTCGCCAATTGGGTGGGCATGAGCGTGGCCTCGGCGTTCTTTGCTTCTCTCGAACGTTTCCAGTGCGTGAACCTCAACACCTCCGATGATGAAGACGAAGACGATCTCCCTTTTATGAAGATCAACAACGACGACACCAAGAATCTCAACTCCGTCGATAACCTCCCTGTCTGATCACTCGGTGTCGATCCTCATCGGTATATTGATATAGATATGTATGTCTCTTCATATATGAATTTCATCTTCAATATATCGTTTATAGTATGGAGTCGAATTGAACTCTATTGGGTAAAATGAAAAGAGAAAGAATCAAAAAGGGTTTATTTGGATTGTTTGATTTCTTGTTGGAATTGTTGTTATATGGATTGAATGTGTTTTTATCCACATTGTATGTACTCTAATTGAAAAGGGTCGAACTGAAATGGGTTTTATTGATCTGGATTTCTTAATGTTCGCTTTGTACTCTACATCAAAAGTATGCAAAATTGACCATTTTCCTTGATCTGTTGCCCTCGTTAGTTTATTTATTTTATTTATTTATTTATAGGTAAATTCTCTCACTCACAAACACACACACTAATGCCCTAAGTGGACTTGAACCCCCAACTTTCCATTTGGAAGGAAGAGGAGAGAGAACTTGAACTAGAAGCTCGGTGGTCTTAATTATTTGGGTTTTATGTGGATTGTTAATGAACAATGTTGTATAGGATTCAATTTGTAAGTTTTCCGCATTAGGCATGGATTATGCATAGAACACTTTATGTAGGCGCAAGACATAAGAGTATTTGCAAGAGTTTGTAGTTTGTTTCTTGATTGGTGTGGGAGTTGATTTGATAGACAGAAAAAGAATCAACAATGTGAAAGAATAAAAGATGGGGGCTGTATCTGAAAATGCACACGAACGCTATGCATTCTCCAGGACCAGGAGGCCATGTCTGGGGGGCTCCTTGAGCCCTGTGGCCAGTCATGGTATGGAACATGAGCATGAGATTCAATATGGGCTTGGCAAACTGTGTCGTATCATAACATTGCCATGACCTTGTCGGAGATTTTGGATTGTGATATAGCTCAGGGATTAGGATATAGTCCGTTGAGGTGATAGACGCTTCTATAGTGTAAGCCTTGCTAATGACCGAAGAGGTCAAGCAATAACTAGAACTCCGCCAGCATGACATGGGATTGTGCCAGTCTTGCGTTGTGGTTTGTAGTGATCATTTCTACATGAGGTAGTGCAGGTTTACCTCATTTTTTTCTATTAATGGGAAACTTGGGGATTTTGTGGGTTGAAGACTTGAGTTGAGGTTTCATGACAAGATGATCGGTGCATCTTGGTAATGTCCAGATGAGGGGGATTTTATTTATTTATTTATTTATTCTGGATGAAGAAAAACCCACTGCTTGTAAGTCCTTTTTCTGGTGTGTGGTCTTTGACGCTATGACTCATCCATAGGCTCTCAGATCTCCCTTCTCTCTACTCTCTGAATCATTTCTCCATTACTTTTCAAGCCTTCTTTGGCATATTGCACGGACCCCTTCTACAATTAGTTGTGCCTTGAAGTATTTTTAGGTTTTCGGATTCAACTGTAGTACGTGCTAATTTTGTTGTTACACAAATATGAGATTGGACTAACAGAGTTCCCTCTGATACAATATTGTGGGTATTAGTCCATAGAAGTTCATGCTAACCCAATTTGGGCATCCTCTAGAATTTGAATGGGAAATCTTGGCATTTCTCATAGCAATTGTCACTTGATGTGAGAGCACATCGCCTTAATGGAGGCAACATGTTAGCCCTACCTACTTATGGTGTTTGGACGGGTAGACTGAAGACATATTCGAACTTAATGCTATTATTTTGCAAGTGGCTGCTCTCAAAATTGAAGGGTTGTAAGTTCAAGTTGTTAGCATTGTAATTGCACCAAATAATGACATTGAAATAGACTGTTACTCGCTGTTTGGTCTCCATTTATGGAAGGAGGCAGTGAGAGCATCATATTGATACAGGCATAATCGTCTTATTTATTTATATGAAATGATTACCGACTCTAACTCACTTGCTCACAATTGGTCTGCCAATTAAACCAAGCTGCTGCAATTGGATAATGTTTTTGATGCGGCTAATGTAAGGAGAGTTAATAGATGGTCATATGTTTTCTGTGAAGGGGAGAGTGAGGTTTTTGATATGGCTGGCTAGTGTGCCACATATTAGTTTGTCCTTTGTAGGTAGTGGTGCTGTTGTCTCCTTGACAGAAAAGGAACATGATACCCTCAACAACACTTTGTTGTTTGATCTTCACTTCTCTGCAAATGAATATTAGAGTGAGTACTGTACTCACAGTGTGACAAGGAAGAAGGTGAACCAGTTACTTTAAAGGTAAGGTTGGAATAAGACAGCCCCATCTTTTATTAATTTCCCTCAAACCCCATCTTTAGTGAAGGGAATGTTCCTGCTCCCGAAATAAATAAATATATCTTTTCTGAAGTTTAAAACTAAGGAATGTGCCAACTTAAATAGTGTCTTAATGAGAGAAATCCTTTGTCTAGCAGTTAGAAATATGTTGTTTACAAAAAGGCAAAATTTAAATTACATAGGAGCGTGCGAGGAGGACTGTGAGTAGTGGCACTATCGGGGTGGTTCATGTTTTAATTATGTGGGCTGATTCCTGGATTTGAGAAATCAGTAAAACCATCTAGGTTGCATGAAATTGAAATTAAAATTGAAGAAAATAATTTTAAAAAATTGAATCAAAATTTTCTCAAATTCCTTGAATACATCCTTTTTAGTATTTTTAATTTGAAATTTAACGAGGCTCGGTCAATGGACTTGATTTGGTTTTTGGTAACATATGCTGTCCAGTACCTAAAAATAAACATATTTATGTGATCCGTAATTAACCGTGACATTAAAATGTCCCTAATGGAGTTCGAATGAGAGAGAAACAAATCCAACAATCCAATATCCCCATGTTACTTTATTATTTTGTTATTCACAAACTCATACCCACAACATGGAGTTCGAACTCGATATCACATCATCCGGGCACTACTAGTGCCCGATGGTTTGAATGCCACTCTTTGGCAAGCAATAGGGCTCTTTTATAAATGGGCTTGGCTCATACCTCTGGAAACCTTATAGTCCAACTCGCAAAAATAGTCATACCAAGGTCTTGGAACTGAAACCAACCTTCATCTGGGGGAGAAGGCCCACTGTGTGACTGTGTGTACCAAAGCACTAAAACACCCACACCCACACCCACACACCCACAAACAAAAACCAGAATAGAAGAAATTACTAAATGAGGCAAACCAACAAATGGACGACATTTTATAGACCCACAACAATGCAAAGATTCGTCCCATTTCTTGTGTGTTATTTCTATATTTTGTTTATTCACCTTGCTGCAGTAATCATATACAATAATACAAGGGGAAAAACTGCACTAGTAGATCTATCTCTGTACAAATACAGATATACATGCTACATAGAAAACTTAGTAACTCAAGGCCGTTACTACAGCATACAAATTTTGATGATGGCATCTATAATCTCTGTCAGTAAATAAAAAGATTGCCGAATACCAGTCAGGAACAAAGTTACCTATTTACCTGTCAAAACCAAGAAATCGTTCGACTCAAAACGTAATCTGTCTGGATCATCTACATTTCAAGAACAGGGCAGAGACAACAATCAGTCTGTTCAGCAGAAAATGGCGCACTACACCACCTTCGCAAAAGCCCAACCGCCACTGACCCCACCGTCGAACAAACCAAATGGCAGGCAATCTCCATCATTCAGACCCGCCAACATATTATAAAAGGCCAAAGATCCCACTCTTTTCTTCTTCAAACAAATTCCAACCACAAGCACTGCAATCTCTCGGTCCCATTTTAAAGAAGAAATGGAAGATGTTCAACAAGGCCCCACAGAGACCTCCATTATAAATTTATAAACATATGCAATCTCAATGGGCCTCTCTTAACACGTGACAAGTTATTCTTTAGGTCAGCACAAATATACTTATCCAATAAACAAATTAAACAATCCTTGAATTAAGCAAGGTGTGCATAATTCAGGAAAGTGGCCTTTTGTTGGTTCCTAGCCGGATCACACTACAGCCATGAATCCCTTGCAACTGCCATGACCTAATTCAGATCTGATGCTGATGGTGCCAAAATTTAAAAAAAAAACATAAATTGACACTCCACATGCCCTACGAAGTAGTCAACTGCAACCTGCAGGTCTGATGCTGCCAAAATCAACTTTATGTGCCAACCCATTCAACAATGAATTTGCAGCAAACCATCTCGCACTAAGCTGGCACTGAGAAAAACAAAGTGCCTAACCAAAGGAAAAGGAATCATCTATGATTCTCCAAGGACCTAAAAGCCTCTATAATTTCGAAGCGGAACTGGTAAGCCATAATTATAGAATGACCTAATTCGCCCATCCCATCCCCCAGTAACAATAACAAGACCCCATGCATGAGAACTGGATGTGCTCTGGCAAGAATTTTTCAGAAACTTGTATTGAGACTTACGAATTGCTGATGGCAGAGCCAATGGGCTTGAAGTAGGAAGCTTTTCCTCGGGCCAAGTTGCAGATCCCTTGGGAAATGACTCTAAAATGAACTGTTGCTTCAACGAGAAACAAGTGGGTGAAGAGAGAGGACATGTGTTAGGTGATCCTCCATTTTCTGAGTTCTCAAATTTCAAGCCAGACCAAGGTATTGCAACTGCTGCATTCGTGGAAAAGTGCTCGCAGGACTTAATTTTTCTTGGTTGGGTCAGAGAAGACTCTTTCTGACTAATGCAGTTCCATATGTACACATTAGAATCCTCATTTGTTGAGATAATATGCTTTCCATCTGAGGTAAAAGATGCAAAGATCTGGTTTCCAGCATTTCGGAGGCCTACAGAGGAGGAGAAGAGAGAGATATTCAGAAAGGGTCAAAAACCAAGAAAATTTGTATCTGATTTTCTGTTCTCCGAAAACAGAAAACTATTCTCAAAAAATTGAATCAAGCAGACCCAGAGTTTCTAAATGGAAATAAAATTTTAATTCAACAACCAATTGGATTCACAAAATTCAGCTACATTTAATGAACGTTCATGTTTCACAACATGATCATCACAAAAGTAGTCCCCATTTGCATTAGTGCTAACTAGCAGCCGTTTTTTTGGAAGGCCAGGTACCCATGTATGATTGCAGATTCCACGGTAGCAGTAGTTCTAGCTCTACATTAGGAGCACGGGGATTCTATCTATCTAAAGGAGGTATGGACCCCTCCCATGGTATGGTACAATGAAGCTGAAAACATAAGCCCTTTATAGGTTGGGCGCTAGTGCAGCTCGCTTCATTTTTGTTGCGGAGCTCACTGCTTTTCATTTTGATAGGAGTAGGCGCTTGCAGCTTGCTGCTTTCTGTTCAAGCTCCACTAGCTGCCAGCTGCCTACTCCATGAGTCACCACAGCCTAGCGTGGAAGTGTTTGAGCATGCAATCAATCAATCAAAGCATAACTCACACCATAAAGGTGTGGATTAAAGCAGTAACCAGCAAGTCATCAAAGAGGCCATCTATGAAGAAAAAAAATCCAGGACAAAAGAATAAAGCATATACCACTGTATTTGCCAATCACATTAATTCCGTGAAGGATCCTCACTTTTGAATCGGCACAAGTGACCAATAGTTTGCTTGGGTCTTGTGGGTAGAACTGGAGTAAAGTAACATGACATTAGCAAGAATTGCGCACCTAAGTGAATAGAAAAACAATAGTAATAACAAGGCAAGCACAAATGGTAGAGAATAACTACCTGGAAGCCAGTTATCCTTTTGCACGATGACTTCTTTTTATTGCGTAAGCAAATCTGGGATTCCAGTTGCAAGTGGTTATCTGGTCCAAGCAAAATAATAATAATAAATATTTTTTTCTCAAGTTCTTTCTGGAAAAACCAAATATAAAAGTTATTTTATGGCATAGTTATATAAAAGGCACTGCAAGTCAATATATTAAATCATCGAAGTACTTGTTTTTAGTTTCTTAAAAAAAAATCAGTGCCGCCCAAAAAGAAGGTAACTTGTTTCTTCTTCACAACACAAACAGAAGGAAATATATCTACTTATTTTAGTCGATATCCAAACTACAGAATGAAGATATCTCAATGGTTTTGTGAATCAGATGAGTGAAAATCTTTTTCCTCTTTCATATGACACTAGACCCTTATTGTCAACTGGAAATAGATTACATGATCAATAACTCTAATATTTGTCTTAAGAACTCTATACCATAATTCCATTTAACTGGAAAACTAAGTTGACCACATTGTATAGAATCAATAAAAAAAAAAACACATTTATTAGCTAATCAATCATGTAAGCGATGCGTGTCACTAACCTTGCAAACCAAAAAGGAAATAAGCAACATTGCATCAAAAAATGTGTGTAATATTTGACCTCCAAAACATAACAAATGCCCAGATACTAATAAAGCATCACACCTTAACTGCTAAAAGAATACATGTATGCAACTTTGGAAGGATTTAACCCCACAAGAGTCGACAACATTATTTAACCACCATACTCTAAAACACAACAGAGAGTTTATCACCAAAAGTTGTCAATGTCCTAAAAAGTAGAGTAAAAGCTGCAATACATTTAATCACTTACAAGGGAAAGCAAAGGGACTACCTGATATATTGTAAAAGCGGCAATTGCCAGTAATGGAGCCAACAATCCCACCCTGTATAACAAATAAAGATATGTCATTTGATTAAATCTCTTAAATTTCAGAGGTTACAACCTCATTCCAACAAGTTCAGAGAGCAAGAAAATCACCAAACCTGACCATCTGGGCGATAACACACAGCAGTTACAATATCTCTTATGTCAGTCCAATCAACGACTTGGCAACCACTAATTACCCAAATTCGAACTTTTCCATCTATTGAACCACTGATGAAGTGATTATCGTCCACAGGGTTAAACTGAACAGAGGTCACTACATCTCATCAACACGTGAAGAAGAAACAAGTCAGGTAATTCTCATCAACACGTGAAGAAGAAACAAGTCAGGTAATTCTGAATAAAATAATAGATGGTATAAATTTCATGATTCAATGGACCAATTAACCTTGGATGATACATTACTAATCAAGCATAATAATAAACACACAAATAGCAAGTAACGCACCATAGTTACTGTGTGAAAAGACTTTAACGCAATGGTCACATCCGACTCGCCACAAACGAACAGTTTTATCAACCGATGCTGACAGCAGATACTGCACCAAGAACAAAAACAATGTAGTGTAAATTAATATTTGAAACATTTTACGGAAATTCAACTAATTTCCAAACGATCACTTACGTTATCCTTCGACCATGAGAGATCCAAGATCTCACCACTGTGTCCACGGAATTCGTGCAGCATTTTCTCCAATATGCGGAATACCTTTGGAGGGAAGATGACACAAGCTGAGTCCACTGTTTTCGTCAGGCTCTTCAATAAACACAGTTTCTCTTTATCCACAGTTAATGGAGCCAGTTCAGAGAGATGATTGACGGTGAAGTATACGCAAGAGGGGTCAAACTCTGGAATATCAACTTCATTTGATCTCTCATCCTCCACCACTTGCCACACACGCACTATCCCATCTTCATCAGCGCTAGCGAGATACTGGCCATCAACACTAAATTTCATAGTCAAGATTGAACCCCCATGGGCCTGGATATCTTGTCCCAAAAAAAGAGCTGAGAGCTCCTTGGATTGCTTTCTGCGATGGCGAACCCTAACATTCTGAACCCTGGCCCCCCTAATTGGGTCAGAGGCACTTGGTCTCAAATTCTTACCCTTTCCTTGCCTATCCACAATGAACTTCATGCAACGTAATCTACTCAACCACCGGTTCTTAATTCTATTCATCATTCCCACAGAATTGCTAGCAACTTCAGTTGCCTTCTGCCTGAGTTGCTGAACTGATGGAGAGGATCCAGAAGCATTCTTAGATTCTTCAGACATCACTAATTGATGTGAACCCACTACTTTAACCTTACCCTGCTTATCATCCTGCTCCGAATCATCAAAACTACGATCTGCTGCACCATCCGAATTCCAAGTTCTGCACGTATTTGAACCAAATTCTTCGCACAAATCTGAAGCATCCTTGGACAAACTTGACATGGTAGACTGACTAGAAGAAAACTCATCTTCAAAACTAAGGGTTCTTGGAAGAGCCCCACTATTCCTTGTGAGGCAATTAAACCCATCTTTGAGCACGTCACTGCAGACATTTATAGAACTCTTGGACGCAAACCAATCCAAGTCCATTCCCATCCAATTTAAGAATTTACTACGGCGCTCTTCAACGCTTCGGGGACTCCTAATCCACACATCGTATTCAGAACTACTAGACACAGAATTGTCCACCCCATGGCAAGAATCAGAAGACTCGGGGCAACTGTGAACTGATGCAATGTCATCATAAGCATCAAAGAATCTACATTCCTCACCATCGTCACTTAAGCTACCCATCATTCCTCGAGTTCAATCCATGAAACCCCACCTACAGAAACCAACTTTATAATCCCAAAGCAATGTGCTAAATTCCCTCCAAACTAAAACCAGAAAAAATAAATAAATAAATAAATAAAACCCCACATAAACCAAGATCAGTATAATAGAAAAAAATTATTAAATTAAACAACAGCAACAACAATACTAATCATTTAAAAAAGAAAATAGATTCAACATGGATCCCAATAGACACCCATTGAACCTGGTCCGCAATACAGCAAAAAATCATAATTTAGCAATACGTTACACAATATTGGAAAGATGAACCCTAAGTTTTATAACAAATGACAGGAACCCAACACTACTTAGTACACAAAAACCAAAACCCTTTATGAGGATGACGTCTGTGAGGACGTCGAAGATAAAATGGTTACATTTGAAGCAACGAAATACAATTATAATAACGAATAAAATTAACATGTAATGAGCATATATGTATATATATGATTTTACATGAAAGAAAATGGGGAGTGATATGGGTATGAATTGCTCACATGGGTTCGTTTGTGTCATCTGTAAAACAGAACGGAATCTGAGAAGCGCATGGATTGATCGATCCTTGACAGAAATTGGAGTTGTTTCTTTTGTGTATGTGAAGCGAAGAAGAGGAGAGAGCCAGAGAGGACTCACGAATAATATAAAAATTGGAAATGAAATCAGTAATTGATGTAGAAAAGTGGGGGTAAAGTGGAAGAAAAAAGATAAATTATTCCTTATTATTCGTGAACGAATGACTCGTCGAACGAAATTTCGAACAAAGCCTAGAAACGGCTTGGACATGGAGGAGAGCCTAGGAGGCTTGTGTCTAACCTATAATGCAACAACGTTGTAATAATACTTGTATTTACATCATGGAATATTTTAATCCATACTGTAACACAATTATATAAAAATAAATAAATAAAATAGTATATTTATATAATTATTACATTTTTATTTAATGTTGTATTCTCAATTTAAATATAGTAAAAGGTGTAATGATCTAAATGCGCTCCATAAATTATTCTCATTTCTAATTAAATACCGTACAACCATTCCAATTGTCTTTTGACCTTTTTCCTTTGCCAGTTTTTTAACCATGAAAAATACACAAGATGTGGAACTTTCTAAGACTTTTTAGAGTATTTCATTCAAATAAAATAAAATTTAATTAAATAACACCAATATGTATACTAATATCATCTTATAACATCTATTGATATTTTTTTTTCTATTATAAAATAGAAACTTTGCGTGGGCGCATATATATATATAAATTAATTAGATCATATCAACTGAGTACTTGTTGAGATCTCTACTTTCTTTTTCTTCAATTTGCATACAAAAATCAATTTAATTTGTGATACTATGTCAATGAAATATCATTAGTGCTACTTCTTTTTTAAAAATTCTAACATTCATAATGTTTATATATATATAAGGATTTGCAAGGATATAAAAATTCACCAGATGATCTTTAAACCTGAAAGGTAAGTACCACTGTATTATAATAAATTAGCTCATTTAACTTTTCTCATATTTTAATAAATTGTATTAATCATGTGGTTATATAAAGAAAGTTCATGGCTCTGGTCTGGTCATAGCATACTCTTTGTTTATTATACTAAATTTAATTAATAAACGTGCGTATTGTTCAATCTATTATGTCACTATTTTTTATGTTTATTTCCAACCAAAGTGATATTTTTCATTGAAATCAAACAACATGAATGGAATTGTGCAAATGACAGCCAGAAAGAAAATTCCTTCTCTGCACCACCTTCTGCCCTTGAAAGTCATGGTGTGACAAAATCTAAGTCAATTCTTTATGGCTACTCCAAAATGTAAGAAAATATAATTAAATCATTAATGAGAGCTAGGTAGCAAGTATACTTTACTATATAGCCCTATATTCTGGTGGGTAGGTGATCGACCCAATGTTTGACCAACAATTTTTCTAAATGGACGGTCGTCTATTAGTGCATCAAATATCTCATGGTAAAATGATTTATTTTACTTAATCTACCAAAAAAAAAAAAAAATTTATTTATTCAATTTCAATATTAAAAATCAAAGCCTAAGAAATAAATAAGGAGCTCGGTCAAACAAGCCCTAAAAAGTCAAAAAATGGTCCATAGAATTGAAAGACATGTGACATATAGAGTGTATATATGCTTTTAAACATTTGTCAATTAATTCAAAATTAGGTGCCACCATTACTTTTAATTTTTCTTTTTGGGTAAGCAAAAGGGGCTAAATTAAAAAGTCAATGATAAACACTCTATATTTCTATTAGAAAATAATTCAATTACATGTGAAACCTAAAAGCCCATTTTAATATTTGTAAAAAAGATGCTAATAATTCAGATAAAAATTAAAGAATTATACTTGGTAAATTTATTTTACAAAATTCATTAAGTGACAATTGAAAGCTGAATAATGTTTGAGTAGTTCAGAGCTTTGATTAGTTTTGAACTATAATGTTAAATGTGTTTATGTAACACTTCAAAATATATTCACACATATAATTTGAAGTGTGGTTTGTTTGCTAAAATCCTACAAAAGCTCAGTTTTTTGGCCTTTTCCAATACCATATATAACAGGGTAGAGATATATTACCTATAACAAACTAATGGTTTCAATAAAATAAGAACAATTTGGATCAGATTAGTTTCACGGATTAAGCTTATTTTATAATAGAGTTTATTAATACTTAAATGGACTAAATTTAACTCTTACTTAAACATAACTTTTATGACCTAGTAGAAAAATTACACTATTTAAAAATTACATTTCTAGTTTCTAAAATATGCTAGTAATGTGAGGGTATGTCCTCACTTGTTTTATCTTGTACAATCTTCTCCTATCATTTGGGGAAAAAAAATAAAGATAACAATAATATACTAGAACCAAAATAATGATTTATTAATATGTTTATGTAAATGATGGTTAACATTATAGAAAAGAAATATACAATTAATGTACTCCGTAATTTGTAATATAAACAAAATTCATCAACTAATAAAAATAAAGAAATAAAATATTCGAAACTAAATTAATTCTAACGGTTTCACTAATTTAAAATTGGAATCAAACCTGATCGAAACAAAATCAGAATTTAAGATTGAATCGGTTCAAATCGACGATTTCAATACATATATGCACTCCTAAGAAGCATCTTTCCTCCCAAACTCATTCTAATTCTTGTTGTTTGTCGTATTTCATATGTTGGTAGAAAAATATGTTAGGAGAATGGAATTATGGTCACGATATATATAAGAAAATAATAAAAAGAATTAGTACAAATAAAGTCAAGTGTAAGTTTTTTTTGTCTGCATTAAAGGCCAACAAGGGTTAAAAAAGTCAAAAAGCAATTGTTGGCCTTTGTTTCAAATGAATCGACCAGCTAACCTCAATCAGTTTTAATAATGACAACTGTCCACTCCACAACTACTGTTTCGTTGCACTCTTTAATTCGTCTGATTACCGACCACATAATTGCGATTTGAAGAGTAAAGTACAGACATTGCCTCATTAATATGCGGCAATGGTCTGTCTAAATTAACATAATATGCTTTCTTCCTAGTACGTACATTTATATACTGAGCATGCCCCAAACAGGCCCTAATAGTTTGTTGTTTTTATCTGAGTTGGGATTGATAGTTGATGTCATTAAAAGTAAGAACATAATAATGATTGATTTATTATAATTAATCATCTAATTGGAATAAAAGAAGACTTTAATTATGTTTTATTATGCAGAACAGCCTAGCCAGTTGATACATGCACCAAATTAACTCAGATTAAGTTTAATTTAAAAACACGAATTTGATTAAAATTAGAAATAGTCTCTTCACGTCGAAGTTAAAATTGTGTGCATCTAATTTTTTTAAAATCTACATAGACAAGATTTTCGTGTGTTAAATTTGTTTATTTTTTATATATAAGTACATATATTTCTATATATACACATATATATTCACGAGGGTTGCCTGCTTCTTAAGCAATGAATTATTCTTTGGAGAAATTAAGCCAATATTGTTTATTTCAACTCAATTCTTTATAAATAAAAAAAATTTCTTTTTTGATTGTTTATAATTTCTATAAAGTAGCACCAGATTCTTTTTAATTTTGCCCCTTTCATTTAATTTTTAATTTAGCTTCCTATTTCTGTAAACTCTTCATATGAATGCTTCATCCCAAAAATGGGTCAGTCAAGGAAGGATGAATCTCTCTCTCTCTCTCTCTCTCTCTCTCACACACACACACACACAAGAAAAAGCTCAGCTCACATGTATCACCAGATTAACTCATATTAAGTTTAGCAAATTAAAGGTAACCTAAAAATACGGATTCGATTAAAACTGAAAATAGTCTCTTCAGGTCGAAGTTAAAATTGTGTACATCTAATTTTTTTTTTTTTAATCTACGAAGGTTTCGTGTGTTGAATTTGTTTATTTTTATTATATATACACACACACGTATATATATTCATGAGGGTTGCCCGTTTCTCAAGCAACAAATTATTTTTTGAAGAAATTAAGCCACGTTCACTGTTCACCCAAGATTCTAGCCCTCATAATTTCTATTAAAAAAAAGCACCAGATTTATATAACAGTTGAACTATATTGTTTATTTCAACTCAATTCTTTATAATTTTTTATTTTATTTTTTAATTGTTTATAACTTCTATAAAGTGGCACCAGATTCTTTTTAATTTTGCCCCTTTTATTTAATTTTTATTTAGCTTCCTATTTCTATAAACTCTTCATATGAATGCTTCATCCCAAAAATCAAGGAAGGATGAATTCTCTCTCTCTCACAGACCCGCGCGCGCGCACAAGAAATAGCTCAGCTCATATATCACGTGTGTATGGGTTGTATAATTTGTACTCCATTATATATAATACATATGAATGGTTTCTTAATTTAGTCATAAATTTGCAGCCGACCTAATTTGAATAAAGTTTAAACATGTGGCATTGGAGTTGTTCGGTATATGTACCATTTTCAATCAAACTCTCCTTATAATTGATGTGTTCATATGGCCCACATACTATTCACTCCTCAACTAAGAGCTTGCTGTAGTATTATATAATTATACAATTGACATTTTCATACTCTTAATTCAATTTTTCTTATCATTACAACTCATGAAATTAATCAGATAATCTCTTGTGTATATAGTTCTTAATTCGTGTAAATATATATACATATATACAATTAAATGATGATAGTCCTGGTGTTTTTAAGTCTAATGTCTCTCAATCATATCACGGGTAATGTTAGGACATATTCTATGCTAATTATCAATATTTAATCCAATGCAAGTTAATCTTATATTCTCATCAATTTGATAAATATGGCGTGATAGGTGAGGCCCACGTGCCAATGGTATCTGTGACACACATTTCAAAACGACTTTTAGTTTATAATTTTGTATTGATTGGTGATTAAAATTCTAATTCATGATATTAATGGTTGTTAAGACAGGTACTTAAGCATTATTATATTGAGGTACAAAACACCCAACAATTTCAACTTTAAGAAAAAGTGTCCACAACGTGTAGATACATGCATTTGCAGCGATGGTGATAGTTAATAATCATGTTTTAGTTCCGATTGGCTAATCATTCCAAACTATATTAACCTTAAGTTTGTTTGGATGTAAAATACTTTTTTAAAACAGTATTTAATTGTCAATTTAATATTTATAAAAAATATATATTAAAATTTAATAAAAATAATTTACCAATCAATTTTAAACAAATTATTTTACACTTCACTTTTGTCAAACATAAAAAAATAAAAAATATATATGTATTTTACTTGAA